TTGATCTACATCCCCAGCCTTTCTTATTTTTTTTGTTTTTGTTTTGTGGGACTGGGGTTTGAACTCAAGGTTTCACACTTGCAAAGCAGATGCTCTACTATTTGAGGCACACCTTCAGTCCATTTTGCTCTAGTTATTTTGGAGATTGGGTCTCACGAACTATTTGCCTGTATTTGCCTTGAACTGTGATCTTCTTGATCTCAGCCTCCTAAGTAGGTAGGACTACAGGCATGACCTATCAGTGCCCAGAAGTCCTTGGTTTTTTTTTTGAAACAAGATCTCACTATATAGCTCTGACTGGCCTTGAACTCACACCCTCCTGCCTCAGCATGCTGAGTGCTGGGATTACAGGCATGTGCTACCACCATGCCCAGCAAGATAACTCTCTTAAGAGTGAATCGTTCAACCAAGCATGGTGGGACACCTATAACTCCAGCACTCAGGAGGTTGAGATAGGATGACTGTGAATTCAAGACTATCCTGGGCTGCATAGCAAGATCCAAACCAACCTGAGCTACATAGCAAGACCATATCTCAAAAATCAAAAAAAATAAACATTTTAAAAAATGGTAAATAGGACTGGAGTTGTGGCTCAAGAAACAGAGTACCTACTTTGCAAGCACAAAACCCTGGTTCAAACCCCAATTTCCCCCCTACTCCAAGCCACAAAAAGTAAATAATCCTTCAAGGTGGGAGAGGAAGGTACTATGTCAAGTATATAAGAAACAAGACTGGCTCTATGAATGCTTTTATGATAACTAATTCAAAAATAAAAATGACCAGGCCAGGGAGAAGAGTCACTTTCCTATTATGTGACATTTATATAAGAAGTAGAGTTCTAAGAAGCTCAGTGGTACGGCTTGTGCACAGCATGCTTGAGAACCTGAGTTCAATCCCCAGGACAGAAGAATAAGAAAAAAAATACATGAAGGGCAAAAGTGAATTGACAAGAAAATGAGTTACCTCAATAGTATGTGTAACTCTTGGGGATATACCCAAAAGACTGTGACACAGGTTACTCCAGAGGCACCTGCACACCCATGTTTATTGCGGCACTACTCACAATAGCCAAGTTATGGAAACAGCCAAGATGCCCCACCACTGACGAATGGATTAAGAAAATGTGGTATCTATACCTGATGGAATTTTATGCAGTCATAAAGAAGAATGAAATGTTATCATTCGCTGGTAAATGGATGGAATTGGAGAACATCATTCTGAGTGAGGTTAGACTGGCCCAAAAGACTAAAAATCGTAGGTTCTCCCTCATATGCGGACATTAGATCAAGGGCAAACACAACAAGTGGATTGGACTATGAGCACATGATAAAAGCAAAAGCACACAAGGGAGGGGTGAGGATAGGTAAGACACCTAAAAAATTAGCTAGCATTTGTTGACCTTAACGCAGAGAAACTAAAGCAGATACCTTAAAAGCAACTGAGGCCAATAGGAAAAGGGGACCAGGAACTAGAGAAAAGGTTAGATCAAGAAGAATTAACCTAGAAGGTAACACACACGCACAGGAAATTAATGTGAATCAACTCCCTGTATAGCTATCCTTATCTCAACCAGCAAAAACATTTGTTCCTTCCTATTACTGCTTATACTCTCTCTACAACAAAATTAGAGATAAGGGCAAAATAGTTTCTGCCGGGAATTGAGGGGGTGGGGGTGAGAGGGAGAGGGCGAAGTGGGTGGTAAGGGAGGGGGTGTGGGCAGGGGGGAGAAATGACCCAAGCCTTGGATGCACATATGAATAACAATAAAAAAAAACTCAACACACAAAAAAAATAGTATGTGTAAAACACTTAAGTATTTTTTAAATTACCTGTTCTACAAGCTAAACTTGATTTGAAAAGTTTAAAAAGAAGTATTTAAGTTACATATATACGAAAGTCATGATCTACTTCAGTAATAAAATTCTCCATACTAAATATAGAAAAGATTCTTTCTTAATATTAATACTCTACAATTCCTTTCTTCATTTATTTAATACCATGAAAATTAGAATTATCACAGCTTCAGAATAAAAATATCATCGAATTTAATAAACAGATATAATATTAAGAATTAGGAGATGGAAGGATGAATTCAACTGTACATATTGTAAGAAATTTAGTAAATACCACAATGTACCCCAGTACAAAAATTAAAAAGAGATTCCAAGATGGCGGCTAGAGGTAGGAAGCAGAAAGTGAGCCTCCTATAGTGAAATCTTGGAGAGACGCTGGAGACACACTTTGCAGGCATAATCACTGAGAAAAGGCATAACTTTGACTCCTCCACACCTCCAGCCGGCGCAGAGAATCTCCACTTCACGTTAAACGGAGAACCGAGGAGGCCCCCGGGCCGCCAGTGGCCGGCGCCCATACGGCTTGGGAAGACGCGGACCAGGTGAGCTTCGGTTCCCCCACAGACAAGCCTGGGCCAGAGCAGCATAGCCCCCTGGACAGACTGACCTCCACCCGGGAAAAAAAGAGAAACTGAATACTAAGCAATAAGAACAGTTAAGACACGCTGGAAAGAGGGTGGGGCGCCCTGAGCGCTGAAGATTGGGGGAAGGGAATCCTTCCCGGGACTGTAAATAAACGAGCCCCCCTCCCCCGCACAGGAGAACTCTGAGCAAACAAAGCCTGTGGGACCAGGTGAGTGCTAGCTCACCCCAGAGATCTGCATAAATAACGCCGCCAGCTACAGGCTGAGAGCAGCAGGCAGGCAAGCCACAGTTGCAGATACCACTCTCAGAACTGCCTCCAGACGCTTTTTTTTCTTTTTCTCCCTACCTTTGATGAGAGAACAACCGAATTACACCTGCAAGCCGAAAAACTTACTGAAACTGTATTGCATTTGAACTGGGGACACTTGGTGGGGCTTTTTTTTTTTTTGTGTGTGTGAGTGTAGTTTTGTTCTACTTTATGCATCCCCTTTGATGAGACAACTGCAGAACAACATCAGAGGCACCAACTCCAGGACTGGAGATTGAGACGGACATCCAAATTATTAAGACTGAAATTGCATTGCATATAACTTGGAAGTTTTTTGGTTTTTTGGGTTTTTTTGTTTTTTTTAATTTTCTATTTTCCATTTTATTTTAATTCATTTTTATAAATAGATATTACTTTCATATACTTATTTTTTTATTTATCTTTGATTTCAATCCTCTCTCTGTCTCTATTGTCTGTTCAGCT